GAATCACCAGCAGAGGCTCGATAGATTATTTCATAGCGACTCCTTAAATCTTCAGTTAGTTTGAATACCAGTAGATTGATAGCTGGGCCAGTTATAAGAGCTGGTAATATTTCATGGAACTCAGGTTGTCCTCCAGTATCAATGATGTGTAACATTGTGTGATTGTCATCTGTTCCTTCTTCAAACTTTCTTTCGTATTTTTGTCTTTTTGTAACAGGTATCCTCCATACATAATCTGAAAGTCCCTGTATTACTGAACTACTATTTTGCACTTCAGCATCAGTTTTCTTCTCCTGATTGACAGATGTTCTGCATAAATCAGCTACTAGTATATTCTCATGCTCCATATCTGAGCTCTCTTCATTATAATTTGCAACATCATTTACTTCAGAGTGCATGAAAGTAGGTGAAGGCATAACACTTGTATTATCATGTTGATCAGATAAGCCAATTTCCTCATCTGATAATCTTGATCGGTTTTCAAATGAAGTTTCTGTATCTTCAAACAATGAAGTAGACTGATGAGGTGCAGTAGGTTCAATACTTTCACCTGACATGTTGCTTGCTGGTAATAGTTTCTTAGTGATCAGTACAGCTTCTTCATCAAGTTCCTGTTCCTTCCATTCTGTAGTCACTACTGCGTTGTGCTGTGATAGTTTACGAAATGAATTAACTTGTACAGCTGCATCAATTACACCAGTACTAAGAGAAGGACCTGTATCAAGAGATTGATTGAGGAGTCTCTTCTTTAATGTACTCTTACCAGCACCAGGAGGACCTGTCAATATACACTTAACAACACGTAATAATGCTATACAGCTAGATTCATGAATATGAAAATAGCTACTAGCCCTGCTATCATGAGTTGTTATCCCCCGAGTCTTACAACCTTTAACTTGAACAAGATAATTTATAATGTTCATATGAGTTTTATGAAGAGGTTTATGACTAAGTGCCAAATGTAATGGCCTCTCATTAAAATTGTTTTCAACTCCAGTGTTACAGTATGGTTGATTAGTTAAAATTTTAACAATTTCAAAGTGACCACTTTCACATGCGTAATGTAATGGTGTAAAACCATTCATCCCTTTAGCATTAACATCACAGTGTTTTTCAATCACAAAATGACGTGCAATGTCTACATTTCCAGATTTACATGCTTTGTGTATTGGTCTGTCATTAGAATTATCTTCAGCTTCAAAATTACATTGTGGTTGATTAGTTAAAATTTTAACAATTTCAAAAAGACCCTTGTTACATGCGTAATGTAATGGTGTATAGCCATCCTTGTCTTTAGCATTAACATCACAGTGTTTATCAATCACAAGATGACATACAATGTCTACATTTCCAGATTTACATGCTTTGTGTAGTGGTCTCAGACTATCAGTGCCTTCAGCTTCAATAGTGTTACATTGTGATTTGGTTAAAATTTCAACAATTTGAAAATTATCTTTGTCACAAGCATAATGTAATGGTGCATAGCCATATCTGTCTTTAGCATTAACATCACAGTGTTTATTAATCACAAGATGATGTACAATGTCTACATTTCCAGATTTACATGCTTTGTGTAGTGGTCTGTCATTGGAATTGTCTTCAGCTTCAATATTACATTGTGATTGATTAGTTAAAATTTTAACAAATTCAAAATGACTCCTTTCACATGCATAATGTAATGGTGTATTGCCATTCGTCCCTTTAGCATTAACATTACAGTGTTTATCAATCACAAGATGACATACAATGTCTACATTTCCAGATTCACATGCTTTGTGTAGTGGTCTGTCATTGTACTTATCTTCAGCTTCAATATTACATTGTGATTGATTAGTTAAAATTTCAACAATTTCAAAATTACCCTTGTCACATGCGTAATGTAATGGTGTATAGCCATCCCTGTCTTTAGCATTAACATCACAGTGTTTATCAATCACAAGATGACGTACAATGTCTACATTTCCAGATTTGCATGCTTTGTGCAGTGGTCTCAGACTATCAGTGCCTTCAGCTTCAATAGTGTTACATTGTGATTTGGTTAAAGTTTCAACAATTTGAAAATTACCCTTGTCACATGCATAATGTAATGGTGTATAGCCATTCCTGTCTTTAGCATTAACATCACAGTGTTTATCAATCACAAGATGACGTACAATGTCTACATTTCCAGATTTACATGCTTTGTGTAGTGGTCTCAGACTATCAGTGCCTTCAGCTTCAATAGTGTTACATTGTGATTTGGTTACAATTTCAACAATTCGAAAATTACCCTTGTCACATGCTTAATGTAATGGTGTATAGCCATCCCTGTCTTTAGCATTAACATCACATTGTTTATCAATCACAAGATGACGTACAATGTCTACA